TCTGCAAATTTTCTCCTTGCGTTTGACACGACTTTCCGTTCTTTATTGCTTTTAACGCTGCGTATTTAAACACGTCTGTGCTTTCTTCATGTTCCATATCCTGTATATCAAAATCACCACTTTTTTGGAACCTCTAATCCAGTATTCACAAGTTGTAATAGATGGAGCGTGTGAACTTAATATGCCTTTCTCTCATAAATCGATGATTTTCAGGATTTTTTTTCTTTCTCCAATAGAAGCAGAAAAATATAGCTTCCCACAAATTGCATGCAATTGGCCCAAAATTTGAATTATTTGGAATCGAATAAAACTATGTTGGTTACTCTTTTACAAAATGAAATGTACTAAAACCCTACAGCCTAATGATGACAATTTAAAATGAGAATAGAATAAAGTTAAGGTTGGGCGTGGCTTTAACCCTTTCATCTTTGCAAATATTTTAAAATGTTCTTGTACCCACATTAAAAAAATCTTTTTTTGTACTAAGAGTAACATGACCTTATAACCAGTAAACTAGAAAAAGAAGAAAAATATAGAAATTCATAAAATAATAATAAGAAATAATTTATTATTTTTAACAATTTTATAGGCATGCTATTTTCATCAAAATGAATAAAGGACATTTTTTCTTAATGATGTGCCTTATTCAGAACAATATCATCAGGATTAAATATTTATTTTTGAGAGGAATATCATTTATTTAGAGATTATTTTAATTTATTTTGAGGATGAATTATATACTTAAATGATATTTTTGTATCTTAAAAAATATTCAGTATAATTGCTAAAAATTGACACCATTCTTCTATCTTAGCATTTAAATCAAAATAAATGTTATCTCTCTGAAAATAAAAAAAAAGTGTTAAAAAATATTTTCCCTTATGTGTTACACAATCAAATTTTATAATTTGCATGATTTGCATTTGGATTGAATTAATGTAATCAGATTTTTAAAACACTTTCATTGCTATCCAAAAACTGAAATAATTTCATATTTAAAAAAATTAATTATTTATAAATAAATAAAGTATTTTTCTTATTTATTCAATAGTTTTTGAATCAACAAGATGTATATTACATTGTTTTTGCACTAATTAATTAATGCACTCATAGAGATTATCACATTTTAAAATAATTTTAGTTGCTTAATGTAAAAATTAGTTATTGATTGAAAATATTAGAGCTAAATAACTTACTGAAGTTAATTTAAAATACTATCTTTAACCTTTGAATACACATCTAAGAAAATTTAAATGAAATCTCTTGGAATTCAAATACGGGTACGTGCAGCTTACTTCTGAGACTTGAGAATTCGTCTTAGTATTTTTTAGCTGTGTCATCATAGCGATATATTAAATTCAAAAGATTTATCTTCTAGACTTAATAATAAAACTGAATTTATTCTTATGAACATACCAAGAATTTTATTTTTTTATGTAACTTTTCACATCAGTAAGCATAAAAAACCATTGCCTCTCATTTCTTAGAAATTTATGTTTTAATAGTATGAAAAATAGCTCAGTATTTGATTACATATTAATACCAAAAAGTCATTTTATTTCTTAGTAAATGCCTGTAATAGATTTCAATACACTTATTAATTCAGGCCATTAAAGGACTTATTGAATGAAAGACGTAATTGAATACGTAGTGAAGAAAATAACTCAAATAAATTCTATAGGGTCATTACACTTGCTCGCATTTAATCCATTATAAAACAAAGAGCAGAATAACTTGTGTTATAGTTAAAATTTTCTTTTGCCGGTAATTTAAATTCATGATGAATACCCAGTAGTATAAAAAACATCTAGTATAATAATCTTTGAAGATTAGTTTGAAAAAAACTACTTTCAATTCAAATGTACCCTTCTGCCAACAACGAGCTCAATTCTCTAGAGAACATCAATCATTCGTTTATCGCGCTCTCTTGAGAACTAAGAAAATTACTTAAGGTGTATTGAGGATCGTTTAGGAACCCCGGAGTAATTCTAAGAACGTTCTAATTAGGTTATAATGGTTCTCTAAAATTTTAATGATCGATTTATTGAAATATCTTATCGAAAGGATTGTGAGAGATCAGGGTTTTGAAAAGATTTAAAGAGTTGCACAAGTCTTAGATTTTCTCACTTATCTTGTAAAATAAGTTCTCATTTTAGGTTAAATTTTGCCAGTTGATTATAGGATGAATAAATGCAATATATTTTAAAATATGCAATTTATATATTTTGACTTTTTAAATAATAAATTAAATCATCAACATTTTTATAGAATAATGAGAAAATTAAAACTCTTATGATGCTGAAAATCATTTTATAATCTCTAATTAAAAATAATAATTTTTTTTCTTAAAAAAAAAAGGGAATTTTTATAAAATTTATGAAAATAAATAAAAATTTTCAATTAAGGAAATTACAGACTTTTTACTAATTAATAATGTGTTTTCATAAAATTAATATTTCAGCATCATATCCCTAAGTTCCTATACACATATATAGAGAAAAAAAATAAATGCAGAATGAGACAAAGTTATTCAACTATTACATAAATTAATTACTTAAAGCTGCTTTTTTATTTTTAAGAGCCAATCGTTTTCCTTTTAATTTAAAAAAAATATTTATTCAATTCATTGATTAAGAAATTATTATTACGCATCTACATGTTTTCCTTATTTGTTAAACCATCCCAACTATTTCCTTTCATTTAAATGTACAAAATTTAAGGGACTTAAAAATTATAATTAAAAAAATGAAAACTGAAAATTAAATGCAAATATGTGTGTGTTAAAATTTATTAAAAAGGGAGATGGATTAAAATATCTCTACTTATGGTTACACAAACATTTAACATATATTATAGAACCAGATAAGTTACATTGTCCCAACAAAATCTGTATTACTTTAAAAATGTGTGGTAAAATAACTTTTCACAAAATGAATAGACACACATATCCAAGTCTATTGGAAAATCAACCCATTAATATAACATCCAACGAATATGTTGGATCATTCTTTATTTGGATACAAGTGAAAAGTATCTGCCTTATAGAGATATTAATGTGAGGACATATTCAGAATGATTAATGAGTATCATATCAAAAAGAAACTTTATCTCCCAATACAAATTACTCAACAAACATCATTTGTATTTTCAGCATTTCGTTTTATTTTACATCTTTTTCGAATATTAATTATGTACCACGATATTTAAAGGCGCCGTTCTCAGTACAAATATTATTAACAAACTGACATCATATTCATATACTGTAGTGACATTTAATTTAAATGAATCTATTTCAACTATTACACATTTACTAAACGAAATAAATTAAAGCGTGCATACGTTTATATACACAATCCTACCATATACAATACATACAAATATTTTATATAATATTGATTAAGTGCATTCTTAAGACTCTCTTAACACTTAAGTGTGTATATCATTTAAGCATCTACACACTTCGATGATAAAAAGGTATAATTTCGTTTCACTTGGAAAACTTAAATCTAAATCATGATAATATCATAATTTATTAAAATTGTAAGTAGGAAATCCGGAGCTATATGTCTTAGAAAAAGGTATACGTTAGTCTATAGCTTAGATTATTCTCATAAATTGTACAACACACCTGTAAAGAATTTATATTGATTTAATGATACCTTTTTTTTTTATAGATTCTCAATGATTCTAGTCCATTTTATCAAAATGGAAAACAGAAAAACTGTGATTTGAAATTCAATCTTGTATAAAGGGGAAAAAATAGTAGGCTACCGTTTATATGTGTGCGTGCGTGCGTGTGCGTGCGTAGTATTTGTGGCAAATTATTTTGTAGCGTGTCCAGGGTTGGTTCTTTATATGTTGATTTGACGAGGGGTATTTATGTTGGTTGTTTCTTGATAGAAAACTTCTTCAGGGTTAATTTCATTCTTCCTTTATTCATGGTCCCAAATATATGAAATGCAATATCATTTAGAATAATTAATAGACGCGACGCGAAGACACACATAGCCGAAGCAACAAACAAATGTGAGGAGGACAAGTTGTTAGCAAGCAGACAAAGCACAAAGAGAAAGAGCACCCAGCGCTATGAGGTTTTATACTGGCAGTGAAGGTCGTACGAATCTTTTCTAATACGAGTCGTGATTGGTTGCAAATGCGCACTGGCAATTAGATTACGATTAAGATTATAACAGTCTTGTACCAAAGAATTAGAAAACAATTTAACATAGTAGAGTTAAAGAGTGCTAGAAGAAGTCATTACATGTATATATACATATATGCAATAAGCAGTCATGAATACTATAAAGATTCATTTTATTACATTTATAATAATATCATTCGTATTCAAATTATATCAAATTCAATATATTTCACTATACCATGCAAAATCCTTGTGCTTATTACCTTAATCTAGTAGTAAGTCTAATTTTTAAATTTTCTCAGAAACACATTTAATGAGTTTATAATGTATGTTATCATCTCATGTGTTTAGTTCATTCTTCATATAAAAGAACTAAGTCATTTTATCATGCAGCTATTGTTAACCTTTATGTTATAAGCTATAAATTTTAATTTCGTGTTGACAAGCTGTAAAAATATTTAACAAGTTAATAGGTATATCATGAGGCAATTTTAAATCTGTAACTATAATTATTTCTGAAATTACGTCACAATATTATATACAATAACATATTACTTTCAAAGTGTTATTAATGATACTACCTTCAAAAACAAGTAATATAAAAATATGTATATTCAATTCTACTAGTCAAAAAAAATTTTATTTTATTATTTTTAATATGTAACTTCTACTAGTCAAAGAATTTATTTTAGTTACTTTTTATTAAATAATTACAATTAATATAAATATGTATATACATATGACAGAATCTCAATATTAAGTGCCAAAATAGAACTTTACTTTCTAAATATAGTGTTGGACTGTTATTTTTGCTTGTTACTATTTAGTAATTTATAAATAACATTCGCAATAATTAGGCTATCCTAATTAGGACTGGAACTTAAGAGCTTTGGATTAGAAGTCCAACTCATTATCCATTGTGCTACTTGGACATTACGAGCGATTTTTTTTATATACGGTGTTAGGCTATATTTTTTGTTTTATATAGTTTAATGAATAATTATTTTTAATTTATGAATTAATATATTTGAAAAAACTGTATTAACATCAACTATTTATAAAAAAATTTATTTGAACTAGAGTGATAAATAAAAAATATTTTATCAACGATTGAAAATTTTAACAAGAAATATATATATATATATATATATATCAAGGATGAATGTGAACTAATAGTAGGAATTGAATAAATCTCTAAGCTTCAAAGGAAAAACTTAACAAATTTACTTTGAAATTTTCAACTACAGCATATATAATCTCATTTTGTTTAATCTTCGAAAAACTGAATTATTCATCACCAAATCTTCTAATACTTAATTAAAAATGAATGTTTGTGATAAAAATACATGATTAAAATAGAAATTATGAAAATGAAAAGTCTACTTGCAGACTTTTGATAAAAGTTGTATTAAGTTAAGAAAGAATTTTTACAATCTCAAGTTAAAAATTTTAATAAGGATATGATTAATTATTTTTTATAAAAATATTTATTTTAAATTAAGTAAAAATCTTTTTTCCAAACAGGCTTTCGTAGGAAGTCTGTTTTTTAAAACAATATAAATTGTTAAAAGAAAAAAAAAAGAGTTGTTTTTTTTTAACAGGGAAAACAATAACATAACTAGAAAATCAATTCCGAGTAAAAACTAAAAGTTAGGAGATTTTTCATTATCAGTTGAAAATCCATCTTAATTAAAGCGTCCAAACAGAAGCTTTAATGAAAGCTAAGAGAAGAGAGAAAAAAATGCTTTGTTGAAAAAATAAACAATGTCTTTGTAGTTACAAAATTAATCATTCTTAACAAAGAAAAATAGAAATAAACTTAAGGAAGGCAAAGATCTCCAGAAGAAAAATAATGCAGCTTAAAAAGTTAAATTAATTTACATTCCATCATTTTAGATGTTTTATACAGAGACAACAAGAATTTAACTGTTACTTCATGAAACAAAATGAACATAATTTGGTTGTAGGGAAAGTAATAAGCCTCATAACAAAACATTTGAGCTGAATTTTCGTAAATTTTTAATCGTTAGAAATTAAAAGAAATATACTTACAATTTAAAAAATCTAATAATAGTATATATATATATCATTGACATAATAAAAAAATTCATATAATGTAATGTCGCGAATTTTGTGCAATTAATTCTCAATTTTATCTTAAAATAGTGTTAATAATTGCAAGTTTCATGTTTAATAAGTAAATTTCGCTTTCTGTTGAGTTTATTTTTTGATAAAAACTTGAATATCATGTGGAATATTACCGATACAGCCAAGCTGGCATCTTTTTTGGCAAAAATATTTGGCGACTTGGTTACTATGTTGGCGACCATTTTTGGCTACGACGACCACACAAATCTATAAATTATTGGAAAGGATTTCGGCATGACCTATTAAGTAAATTAATATTTCAAGGAAGCGGTGGAAGGTAGCCCTGCAGATTATAAACATCTGTGGCTTCCTGAAACTGAGTTAGTGCTATTTACACAATTGGAGTGTTCACTTTTCTGTGTTAACGTATGACCGAGGTTGGCTAAGTGGCTTAGAAGTAGCGTCCCCACTTCGTAAGCCCAGGGGGTCAGTAGATTTTCTGGATTGGTAAAACGTACGCAAGTATGTCATATAATTATGTGGCATGTAAAAGATCTCTTGAGTATCAATTTGACTCTGATACTCTCGCCAGATTAAATGATGGCAATATATAGCATCCGACAAGAGCTTGAATTAAAATTAATTTAAGTATCTAAATTTGGTAGCGAGAGCCTCCTTAGATGTGGGCACTTTGAAAATGGCTCTCACAATTAAGGACTATCTGTGTCTGCAAAGGCTTAATTGCCAATATGCAACCCATTAGAAATAGAAGAAAAAAACTTGTGACCTAGTAACTTCCAGCGGATAGTTTTATCGTTATATAGCTGTATATTTAGAGACTATAGTTGTGTCTGAACACTGCAGAAATTCTGAAAACTTTTGGAAATTATAGTACAAATTGTACTGCTGTTATCCTATATCGTAAGAATAGTTTTCCTCAATAAGTTCTATCGCTGTTGAAGAATTGTTTTGTTACTTAGAACTGATAGCATAAATTCCCGAATCCCGATCTACGCAACAAAATATTTATGCACAGTACATTTTTTATTTATTTTTTGAAATACTTTCACATTTTATGTGCAAGCATTCGATTTTTCTTTGACGAGAGAAAACATGCAGAATTTTAAAAATAAATAATCCCGACTAGAAATTATGGTATAAAAATGGTTAAAAGACACGCGTGTTTATTTTTTGACACTAAAAATTAGACTATTTCTTTTCATTAAAAGCATGATGGTATCAAATTACTTAAGATATCAATATAATTAAAAATAATTCCACATTCCAGAATAAGAAGAAATTTTTATCAAGAAAATAAAAAACGTTTTTAATCCATTTACTTATTGTTATCATTATTTGACATTTTTGTAATGAATATCATGTACTCCCTTATTTTGCTTACTGATTAACACAATAAAGTATTTTGCAAGTTTAAATGCTTGTTCTTTGCATTGGAGAACATTTGAAATAAACCCATCATTGTCCAGTTAATTTACATAGAATTTTTTTCACAGATGGCTCACGTTGAGACTAACGAAACATATCCAAATATTCGAAATATTTTTTTCATTAATTCTCAACCTCTTTAAGAATAATGTTCGGTGAATTTTTGAAATGTTATATTTTAGAAAAGTTAAAAAGAGTAAGTAATCCTGCTACAAGGAACTAATGGTTATACACAAAAGTTTCCAAAAAATGATCATTGCCTCATGTGATGAATTTAATACGATTGATTAATTTAAAATGATTTAATTAATATGATAAATGATAAATTTAATAAAATTTTGCCTTTTAAATAACAGTTTGTCTTTTAATCCTCCGTTTAAAAAAGAGAAACAGAGAAACTTGCATTGTGATTCTGTATTTAGAAATTTGTAGGAAATATCGGATATGTATATATATACATTATCTCTCTCTCTCTCTCTCTCTCCCTCTCTCTCTCTACATATATATATATATATATATTGTATATATATATGTACAGAGAGAGATAAACAGAGTAAAAAATACAACACCGTGAAGGAATCATCAGAATTAAAGAAATTTAATGCAAAACTGACTTGGGGGTATTCATACAAGTGAATGCCAAATTTTCAAAGCAAAAAAAAAAAAAAACAATATTAATTGTTCAAAATCAGTATTTGGTGTAGCCACCACGCGCTGCAATAAGTGTTGCTATAGGACATGACATGGAATCAAACAGATTTTGAATGTCTGCTTGTGGAAGATAATTCAATATTGTTTGTATACGCAGTAAAAGTTCAACTTTTGAAGCTGCAGGACGCGGATTTTAAATTACCAAATACTATACGTGCTCAATAGGCAACATATCCAGCTAATAAGCAGGCCCAGGAAGAAATTGTATGTGTTGGGCTGATAAGAAGTTTTGAATAGTCTTTGCAACATGTGGAAGTGGATTATATGAAAGATACCTCCAGGGATGACTTGAAGGAAGAGAGTGACTTTGGTCTGTAACACTTCACGGACTTACCTATTGCTATTTGGACCCTCAATTAGTAGAAAATTGGGTCGTCCATGATACGAAATCACGCCCCAAACCATAATTCCGAGTTTTAGGGCACATTGTCGTTCGATAACGCACTCTGGAAGTCAGCGTATGCCGGTACAGCGTCTAACACGAATAAGGCCACATGGTCCCACAATTTGAAACTTGATTTTTCTGAAAAGACAACCTGGTGCCTATCAGCTTGCCAGGGTCTGGTCTCATGAGCCCATTGCCGACGCAGCTGTCGTTGGTTTGCCATGAGGGGAATTCTATATAAAGGCATCCTTCTCCGCAATCCACGGTGCAGCCAACGTCGGCAAATTGACGAAGCCAACATTGGTACACATGTAGCAGCGGGGCCAGTGGAGGAGGCTGTACATTCATTCACATCCATGCGGAGTAGGTGTCGATCGTCGCGCGCTGACGTCACCATCCGTTATTCACTGCCATTTCTTCCAATTTTTCCGTGCTTGTCGGTCCACGGCTTCCAAACTAGCATCACTGTGGAACTATTTCACTGCACACAAGTTTCTAATCCTCCTTCTCGAAGGCCGATAATCCTTCCCCATTCTAACTCCATAAACTGTTGGAATTTTTCCTTATTTTGTCGTGGAGGCCTACTTGCGTCTCAGTAAACGTTCGCTACTAACAAATAATCATTAACTATTTTCAACGTTCCGCTACAGACCTCTTATTATACGCTCTCATCATCAGTTCAGAGGGCGCTGAGCACTCCATGTATGCGCGGTGGCTCTGAAACTTGATTATTTTGCGTAAAATCCTATAAATGACATTTGCTGCAAAGCTCATTTAATCCTTATGATTCCTTCTAGTTTTCGCATTTTTTACAAACAGCAGTGTAAATAAATATCTAAACAGATGTAAATTGGAACAACTTTGAGTGGGGGAAAAGCAGCCATCGTCCTTCAACTCTTTGCATAATTGCATTATAACTGATTTATTTATGAACAAGTATGAACAAACGACTACACGAAGATAATTTGTCGTACATACTCAAATATAATAACAGATTACTTATAGAAATAAAAAGCATATTCAGAATGAACAAGTCTTATAGGGCTCCAGAAACGGTTCTCTGCAACAATTCCACTAGCATGAAAGACAAATCTGTCTGTTTTATCTCAAATAACACACAAGCACATTCTAATCTCGACCGTTGTCTCAAAGATTCATCGAAAAAAACTAAGGGAAATTTTCATAAGGGCCAATTTCACAGATTTGTAACCCTCAATCTGGTAACCTTACTCACTAATTTTTGGGTTTTGCCATAATCTTATTCAAGTTCTTCCTCTGTAAAACTCATTTTTCCACAAGCAG